GTTAGCCCGGTTATCGGACAACCCAAGGACACCTTTCGAAAACCTCGCCCCTAGGTTAAGCCCGGTTATCGGACAGCCTAAAGGCGTTGTAAACACCTATAAAAAACGTGAAAAACAAAAGGGTCGAAAAAACCATCGCATCGCTCCGACCGCCTCTTTTTCAGACGGCGGCGACAGCGAAAGAAAAAGGCGAAATCAAAACTATTCCAGCAGAATGAAGAGCTTCAAGGAAAATAGCTCTAACCTTCTATCTCAATAAACGAAGGTAAACCAAAAAAGAGGCCAACGGAAAGGCTCGATAATCCCCAAGCGGATCCTTGCCTACTCCAGAGGCAAAATAAAAATTACTTCATGACTCAGCACCACCACATGAGCCGTCAAAAAGAGTCAGTTGAGGATTCAATCAACATCCTTCCATCTAAGGAAAAGGAAGTCATCAATATGAAAAAACCAACAGAAAGGCTTGATCATCCCCAAGCGGATCCTTGCCTACTCTAGAGGCAAGACAAAAAGATTACCTCACGACTCAGCTGCATCACCACATGAGTCATCAAGCACGCTCATGTGAGAATCTCCGCTTCATTCCCCAAAGGAGAATAAGGACTACACAAGAGTCCATCAAAGAAAATACGGAGTCAAATCCTCCATATCACCAGGAGGCAACGAAAAAGAAAGAAAAAGAAAAACTTTCATTCCCCAATAGAGGCCACAACGAAAAAGGCCAAATAAAAATCTCCAAGTAGAGTATATCAAGAAAGTCTACAAAAAGAGGAAAACAATTTTTTTTTCCATCTTCCAGCTCAAATAAGAGCTTCACAAGACCAGGAGCCAAGACTCCATCATCAAAATTAGATCTTAAGGAAGTTGACAAACTCCTTAGTGAATCTCAAAAAAAGAAAAGAAGAAAATTTCTTCATTCCACTCAATAAAGAGCTTCACAAAATTCAGGAGCCAAGACTCCATCATCATAAAAAAAAAAAAAAAATCAAATCAAGGATTAGATCCCCCAAGAAAATAAAATTCCCCAAGGATCGCTAAAAAAGAAAAGAAAAAAGATATCTTTTCATCCAAAGAAAAAGCCAAATGTGCATAAAAGGCGCACATATAAACCCATTCCCCAGCAGGAATAAGAGCATAGGCAAAGCCAGCTCAAAACAAAGGATTCAAAAACTCCATCCCTCCCTAGGGGGAAATCCAAAATAGATCTCCAGAAAACGATCAAATCCCTGGTGGATCACCAAAAAGAAAAATCCCCAACAAGCCTACCAGCAAAAGGCAAAATACAAAATTCATATCCTCAGGGAGTTAATCGCCTATAACACCCAATATGAATATCCCAGTGAAAGGTAAAATCTTCACTCCCAAGAAAGCCTCTGCCTACTCAGAGGCAAGCAAAGAGTCGATAACCCCAAGAAACGGGAAATCAATCTATGCAAGAGACAATACAAGCACAAAGCTTTCAAAAAAGCATCCGCCTACTCAGAGGTATTATCAAGAACAAATATCCTCAAGTAGAACATCAGCCTATTCAGAGGCAAAAAATAACAAGTATAAAGACTTCAACACTATTGAAGCATTTGCCTAAAAACAAGAGGCACAATCAAAAATCAACAAATCCCCAGGAGATCCCTGCCTAAAATAAGAGGCAACCAACAAGAATCCCCGGGAAGACCGGATGGCTAAAAGCCAAAAACAAAGAATCCCCGGTAAAACCGGATGGCTAAAAGGAAAAGCCAAAAAGCAAGGAATCCCCGGCAAAGCCGGATGGCTAAAAGAAAATCCAAAAACAAAGAATCCTCGGTAAAACCGGATGGCTAAAAGGAAAAGCCAAAAAGCAAGGAATCTCCGGCAAGACCGGATGGCTAAAAAGAAAAGCCAAAAACAAAAATCCCCGGTAAAACTGGATAACTAAAAAGAAAAGTCAAAAAGAAAAATCAATCATTCCCCATGGAATAGGCGCATGATCAAAGACAATAAGCCGCCAACACATCTCCAAAAACCGGATGAGGGTTTGTACTCATCAATCGAAAGACTGAATACCGAAAAAGTGCATCCTAAGAGCCTTGCAGAACGGGGCTCGTTCAGAACCTTGCAGAACGGGATTCATACCGGGTGGGGGTAGGTACCCATCAGAGCCTTATAGAATAGGGTTCGTACCAGGTGGGGGTAGGTACCCATCAGAGCCTTATAGAATAGGGTTCGTATCGGGTGGGGGTAGGTACCCACAAGAGCCTTATAGAATAGGGTTCGTATCAGGTGGGGGTAGGTACCCATCAGAGCCTTATAGAATAGGGTTCATACCAGGTGGGGGTAGGTACCCATTAGAGCCTTATAAAATAGGGTTCGTACCGGGTGAGGGTAGGTACTCATCAGAGCCTTATAGAATAGGGTTCGTACCAGGTGGGGGTAGGTACCCACAAGAGCCTTATAGAATAGGGTTCGTACGGGTGAGGGTAGGTACTCATCAGAGACTTATAGAATAGGGTTCGTACCGGGTGGGGGTAGGTACCCACAAGAGCCTTATAGAATAGGGTTCGTACCAGGTGGGGGTAGGTACCCATAAGAGCCTTATAAAATAGGGTTCGTACCGGGTGGGGGTAGGTACCCACAAGAGCCTTATAGAATAGGGTTTGTACCAGGTGGGGGTAGGTACCCACAAGAGCCTTATAGAATAGGGTTCGTACCGGGTGAGGGAAGGTACTCATCAGAGCCTTATAGAATAGGGTTCGTACCAGGTGGGGGTAGGTACCCACAAGAGCCTTATAGAATAGGGTTCGTACCGAGTGAGGGTAGGTACTCATCAGAGCCTTATAATATAGGGTTCGTACCAGGTGGGGGTAGGTACCCACAAGAGCCTTATAGAATAGGGTTCGTACCGGGTGAGGGTAGGTACTCATCAGAGCCTTATAGAATAGGGTTCGTACCAGGTGGGGGTAGGTACCCACAAGAGCCTTATAGAATAGGGTTCGTACCAGGTGGGGGTAGGTACCCATAAGAGCCTTATAAAATAGGGTTCGTACCGGGTGAGGGAAGGTACTCATCAGAGCCTTATAGAATAGGGTTCGTACCAGGTGGGGGTAGGTACCCACAAGAGCCTTATAGAATAGGGTTCGTACCGAGTGAGGGTAGGTACTCATCAGAGCCTTATAATATAGGGTTCGTACCAGGTGGGGGTAGGTACCCACAAGAGCCTTATAGAATAGGGTTCGTACCGGGTGAGGGTAGGTACCCATCAGAGCCTTATAGAATAGGGTTCGTACCAGGTGGGGGTAGGTACCCACAAGAGCCTTATAGAATAGGGTTCGTACCAGGTGGGGGTAGGTACCCATCAGAGCCTTATAAAATAGGGTTCGTACCGGGTGGGGGTAGGTATCCACAAGAGCCTTATAGAATAGGGTTCGTACCAGGTGGGGGTAGGTACCCACAAGAGCCTTATAGAATAGGGTTCGTACCGAGTGAGGGTAGGTACTCATCAGAGCCTTATAGAATAGGGTTCGTACCAGGTGGGGGTAGGTACCCACAAGAGCCTTATAGAATAGGGTTCGTACTGGGTGAGGGTAGGTACTCATCAGAGCCTTATAGAATAGGGTTCGTACCAGGTGGGGGTAGGTACCCATCAGAGCCTTATAGAATAGGGTTCGTACCGAGTGGGGGTAGGTACCCACAAGAGCCTTATAGAATAGGGTTCGTACCGGGTGGGGGTAGGTACCCACAAGAGCCTTATAGAATAGGGTTCGTACCGGGTGAGGGTAGGTACTCATCGAGCCTTATAGAATAGGGTTCGTACCGGGTGGGGGTAGGTACCCACAAGAGCCTTATAGAATAGGGTTCGTACCAGGTGGGGGTAGTAGACCGCAAATCTTGCCCGGCCTCCAAATAAAGATCAGAAGACCCCCTATTTGAAGACGGCCGAAGCCTAACAAGTCACTAGGAGAGACTATTAGGCCCCCGTACTAAGATAGGAGGGTTTTTTTGGCCCGAAAAATAAAGTTTCTCGCCCTGAAGGGATGAGACCGCCGTCTGGAAGGACAAGACCGCCGTCTGGAAGGACAAGACCGCCGTCTCGCCTCACGCCAGGGACGAGACCGCCGTCTCACTTGTCCAGACGGCGGTCTCGACTTCTGCCTAGTCGAGACGGCGGTCTGGATTATCCAGACGGCGGTCTCGACTCCCTGCCATGGTCGAGACGGCAGTCTGGATTGTCCAGATGGCGGTCTCGACCCTGTCAGACGAAACGGCGGTCTCGACCTGTCAGGCGCGAAAAACTATAAATAGGGGCTCCATTTCCCCTTTTCCAAAAAAAAAAAAAACACAGTAGCTCCTCATTGTCTCTAGATTTTCTCTCTCTAGAACCCCTCCGAAGCATTTTCGGAGTTTCTGAGTGTCTCTAGGTATAAATTGAGCGTCCTAAATCTTCTTTAGAATCCCTCCGAGGCATTTCCGGAGTTTCTGAGAGTTGTAGAGTGAAGGGTTGCCAAAAAGCACCCACTCTTTAAAGAGAAATACAAAAAAACTTGCTTTGAAGGTGCACCCTCTCTCTTTCTAATTTTACCGCTTTCATTTAAAATTATGCAATAGACGCTAGGGCCATGTAGTCATAATCTTTAAATACCGTATAATAAAAGGGTAAAAGCGCAATTTTCCAGTTTAATTATTTATCCAAAGTAGTCGGCCTATCATAGGGAACCCGAAAGGGGCGTCGTAAAGGAACTAACACTTCCTTTGCACGTAACTAACTCCCTTACCCAACTCTGGTTCTAATGACCAAAGTTGGTTTTCGAAAACCAACGCCTTTTTAAACTCCTTTTCCGATGTTTCCGGTAAAAACATCGGTGGCGACTCCACGAACCCTTCAAAACCCGTTCTTGGGTTAGCCCGGTTATCGGACAACCCAAGAACACTTTTCGAAAACCTCGTCTCTAGGTTAGCCCGGTTATCGGACAACCTAAGGACGTTGTAACCACCCATAAAAAACGTGAAAGAAAGAGGGTCGAAAAAACCATCGCGTCGCTCCGACCGCCCCTTCGTTTTTTGGGAGGCGGCGACAGATGGCGACTCCACTGGCGCCCCACCAGTGTGATCAGAAACCACCACTCAAGGTGATAACCTTCCTCTTTTGGCAACAAGACCGACTCTGGCCTTAGTGCTGAGCATGGTTGGAGGGCTGGAGAGTGGAGACCCTATAATGGGGGCACCTTGGGAGCCTTAGCCTGGTGGGAATAGTTAGAACCTACCCTGACCAATGAACTTTTCTGCAGGAAAACCCTACCTCGTGATAAAAACGAAATCTCGCCTGTTCGGGGATGATCGAATTGTGTGTGCATATGATTGTTTGCATTTGTATGTTGCATAGCATAAACAAACAACAGAATAAAAATCACAAAAATACTTTCGCAAATAAACACCCTTATCTCGGACAGTCTGCCTTTTAGCTAGTCTGGTTTCAGGTTCTTTGCAAGCTAAGTAGCCACACAGTTCCGACAGAAGAGATAAGGGACGCTAATTATTTTTCGCATAAAACCATTTTATCTCGGACAGTCTGCCTTTTAGCTAGCCTGGTTTCAGGTTCTTTGTAAGCTAAGTAGCCACGCAGTCCGACAGAAGAGATAAAAGGCTAAATAAATAAATAAATAAATCCAAAATAAATAAAATAATAATAACAAAATCAAAACATAAATAAAATAATTTTGACAAAGTCGTCTCATTCATATTGTATCATATCATAAGTGGAAAAACTAAGAGAGAAATAAATGCATAAGGGAAGTATGCATACACATCATTTTAATAAATCCCTAAAAAATGGGTCTTAGGAGCGTTGTTTGGGAAAATTACTGGGCCAAATCCCCTACGGGAATTTGCAACTTGGTTCTTCACCCTTTTCTCTTCGTTTTGACATGCTGTGCATCCAAATCGGACAACCCAGTCAAAAGCTATGCCACTTTGAACATCTATCGCCCTTTTGTACTGGTGCATGCATAATAACATTCATTCTAGGGAGCACTAGATATCCCTAAGACAATGGCGAAAGAGGCCCCGAGCACATTTGTGACCTTCGCGACAAGGAAGGGACAAGTGTACTAAGGTGTGATGGTGACCCCCATTATACTTGTCAAGTCTGTTATGGGGAAAGAACCATTACACCAAGGTGGGTATAATACCCCACAAAGCATAAGCTTTAAGGAGGATACCTAAGCCATTGTCTTAAGGAATATCCATCTCATAAATCATTCATTTTTAATAATAAAAATCTTTTTGCATTCTAGAAAGCGGCTGGTATTCTTCATGCCCTCATCCGCATACAAAAAAAAAACGCAAAATCCTAAACACTATCATACATCATGTTAGAAAATAAAACATGATAATGTTTAGGAAAAAACAAACACCTACATACATGCATCCACCAAATTTCATAACATAATAGACAGTCGAAGAAGTGGACATTCCTCAATACCATGAAAAGAGGATTAGGGCATTCGCGTGCCATACACAGAAGGTCAAAAAAAAAAAAAGTACTTCGAAACATTGCATTGAGGAATGTACACTGTCTGGATGAAATAAATAAAATTGTTTGTTTTCATCATCTCTTCAAACGTCTATTGCATTCATAAAGTTGCATTCATTCATTCTCACTTTAATAATAATAAGATAATAAAAAGAAAGGATTAATTAATGTGCTTCCCATGAATCGGAATAAGATGGAGAG